CCAGATGACTTTCCAGCTCTAATGTCCCATATGCCACCCTGAGAAGAAGGAGAGCAGGAAGAAGAGGAAGGGGAAGACAGATCTCCTATGTGGTAAGTTGGCCTCAGTCACCCTAGTCAGCAGGATGTACCCGTGGGGCCCCAGCTAGGTTCTGAAGGGTTGGAACATTTTCCAGACACGCAGGGTTTGCAGACAGGGGCGTTCCAGGCAGAGAGGACACCAGTAAGGCAGTCCCTGGGTTACCAACATCAGAGTACAATCCGTAGTTATCAGCCAACCCCACAAAGCCTATTATATTAAAAATTCGAGTTACATACAATGGTTGATAATAACAAATGGGTGCTACTTTGCGACGCACAGCAAAACATTATTACTGTATGTTACTGTATCTGGAAGTATTTCTTTACATTTTTTATGCATAGAAAGGTACACTATATACTATATACTAAGACAGACATTTGACTGACTTTAGATATCAACTGTACCTAACTGTTCTGATTTACATACAGATTTGATTTAAAGACAGATTTAGGAACGGAACTCGTTCTTAATCCGAGGACTGCCTGTAGTTCAGATGGGCATCGGGGGAGTGGCTGCAGATGAGACAGGGCCCACCTTGAAGGGCCTGATCTGCCAGGCGAAGGAAGCGGAAGTTTTATCCTGTTAGGGCTTGGAGAGCCCTTAGTGTTCGAAGCAGGAGGGCGAGGGACGCAAGCTCTTCCGGGCTGCCTTCCCTTTGTCCCTCGGAAGCACGTCATGAACGAGTAGGGAATTTCCACTGGTGCAGAGCGCTTGAGTGTACAGAGAACAAGTTCTTAGCCGCAAATAAAGACGGAGGGGGGTGATTTGAACAGTTTTCAATGCAGGTAACTGTCTATAAACAAAGCTTGCCCTCCAGATCCAGATGTTCCCTTTTACCACTGACCTGTGGGAGCAAAACATGTTTAAAAATGCAGTCAGTAGAGAGAGCTCAAGGAGGCCTGGTGGTGCAGTGGTTAAGCACTCAGCTGCTAACTGAAAGTCGGAGGTTCGAACCCACTAACTGCTCCTTGGGAGAAAGATGTGGCAGTCTGCCTCTGTAAAGATTATAGCCTTGGAAGCCCTATGGGGAGGTTCTACTCTATAGAGTCGATATGAGTCAGAATTGACTTGATGGCAGTGGGTTTGGTTTTTTTAAGGAGAGCCCTCAGAGATGGGGGAAGGGTGAGAGGAAGGGAGGAGTTCCTGAACCAAGTAGAGAATGAAACCAGATGACCTTTGAGGTTCCTTTCAAATCAAAGATTCTATGATTCTGAGGCGTCAAAGGAGTATAACTGACTTCACAAATTGTGCCTGTCCTTCAAGGTCGAGTCCAAATGGGGTCTTCCCATGAGGACCCCGGATCTACCCCAGCAGGAAGAGATTTTTCTCCCCTCTGAAGACCCATAAGACTTTATCCTTAAAAAGAAAAAATCATTGCACATATTCTCCACTAAGCAAAACAAAAAAAGCATCTGAACCTTTTCTTAGTGGTACCAAACACTTTCTACCTGGCACTGGCATTATTTGGGTGAAGAATTTGTTTCTTGCCTGCTGTGGGAACTCCCCGAGGCAGAGTGTGTTTCTAATCCATGGCGCCTGGTGAGAGGCTTTGCTTCATTAAATGTTTGGCAAGTGGACAAACAGGCAGTTCACTAGACTTGAAAGCCAGTAAATCATCACATGGAAAAACAAACGATTTGCTAGAAATTAGGATTCAACTATTAAACTATTAAATTCAATTTTAAAAGATTTACAGCCAAAACTCTGTGTTGACAGTCTTGTGGAGAAATATGCCCACTGACGTGTTACAGTGACCCCAGGAGAGTGAGGAAGCAATGGCTCCAGTGAAGGTCACACCTGGGTTCCTGGTCAGGTCTGAGCAGAGACGCTGGGGTGGAGTGGGGGTGGGAGGAGGTGCAGCAGACTGGAGGAGCTTTCTGGAGAACAACTCTGCAATATGTAGCAAGACCTACCAAACTGTTCACCCTCTCCGACCCAGGATTCATTTCTGGGAATAACCCTAAAGTAAAAAAATTACTTTGTGGAATAATCAAAAAAAAAAAAAAAACCAAACCCATTGCCAGCAAGTCGATTCCAACTCACAGGACAGAGTAGAATTGCCTTGCCCCACAGGGTTTCCAAGGCTGTAATTTAACGGAAGCAGATTGCCACCTTTGTACCGAAGAGCGGCTGGTGAGTTCGAACCACCGACCTTTTGATTAGCAGCTGAGCGCTTAATCACTGTGCCACGGGGGCTCCTTCGTTACTCAGCAATAAAAAGGAATAAATTATTGATACACACAACAACTTGGACGAATCTCCAGGGAATTATGCTGAGTGAAAAAAACCAACCCCAAAAGGTTACATACTGATTGATTCCCTTTAAATAACATTTTTGAAATGACAAAATTATAGAAATGGAGAATGGATTAGTGGTTACCATGGGTTAAGGATGGGGAGGGAGTGTTGGGGAGGGAGATGAGTGTGGTTATGAAAGGGCAGCAGATGAGTGTGGTCATGGAACTGTTGTTTATCTTAACTGTGGTGGTGTGATAAACTTGCAGAGAATTAAACACGCACACACACATATACACAAATATAAGTAAAACTGGGGAAATCTGAATACTGGGAAAACTGGTGGATTGTGTCAATGTCCGTAGCCTGGCTGTGATATTGTACGAATATTCCTCCTATTGGAGGAAACTGGGTAGAGGGTATATGGAATGTCTCTGTATTATTTCTTATACCTGCATGTGATCTTATAATCTCAAAAAGTTTAATTAAGAAAATTACTTGGTACAAGGATGTTCATAGCAGCCCTAACGGAAATCAGCTAAAACCCCAAACGGGTTGATTCCAGGGAATGTTCTCTCGCTCTGAACAATGACACATTTGTGGACTGAGTAAATATAAAGAGCTGTTGGTGAATTAGCATGAAATGGAAAAGCGGATGACATCATAGCAGGTTCGCTTGGTGCCGTTCTGTGACAAGCATGGTTCTGAATTGTCAGAGAATAATTCAGAGGGATGGAGATATGTTAGAGTTTCAGGTCAATTGGAGTCTTCTTTTTTCCTTTCAATATTACATCAGTTTCAAATAAAATAATAAAGTAAAATGAAATAAAACCCTGAGCCTCGCCATTCTCCAGGCACTGGCTTCTCCTCCCATTTCCAGCAGGTGGCAGAAGTGTTCCACGGATGGCGTCCACATCTCCATTCAATGAACGGTCCCGCAGCTCCCAGAGGAGGTGTGGCTCTAAGCATCAATCCTGCCAGCTCAGGGACCTCAAGCACCAGGACTGCCCTCTCCTACGTCCAGGACAAACAGGTAGTTGTCTGGCCACAACAGGGTTAACCATCCACATTCCAGAGCCAGGGAAATGGAGGCTGGAGGGTCACAGACTAGGGGGTGTGGAGGGCCAACTTCTCACAACACTGCCGGCTCCGTTGAGAGAGATAGATCACCCCAACAAAGGCCACAGCTGTTTTTGTCTGCCCTGAAGGAAACTGGCTTAGGAAGCAGGTATCAGAAAGGGCCCTTCCTGCAGGGGCTTCTGTCTGGCTTGTAAAACTGTCAGAGCAGCTGCATTCATGTTCCCGGTGATGGATGGGGAAAGAACGAGGGACAGACGGCCACAGATGGACATAGTGACTTGCAAGTTGAGGCAGGTGGCAAAGGCCTTGCAGAGGCTGTGCAGGTGGGGCACGCTGATTCATGGCCTAGTTAACATACCAAGGGGATCTGCCCACAGCCGACTTCTCAGTCTCCCTTCAGGGCCAGGAGGGGTGAGCGGAGCTCAAACAATCCATCTCCATAGAAAGCTTCTGCCGGCTTCCCTTTCTTTTTTTGCACCTCAGGTGTGAACCTTTCTGCCTCAGCCTCTCTCGCTCACCATCCTCCTCCTTCAGCACAAGGGCTGAGGCGGCAATTCCTTGTGGTTTCTTTGTGTCCAGTGGGACCTGGGGTGGCTTCATGGACTGCAGCTCATGGTACGCAGTGAGGTAAAAAGTGACTCAAAGACATGTTTGAAAAATGTAATGGGATGGGAGACCAGAAAAAAAATGTCAGCACTAAAAACGCTGGCCTTGGCTTTTGCTAAGAAGAGGGATTTTAGGCTGTCCACCTCCACCCCACAGCCTGGCCAGAGAAATAACTGCCTTTGGTACGTTGGCTTGCCAGCCACAGCGAGTGTCCTGGCCGAGAAGCGCCTGTCATTGTGCACAGGGGGCCGGAGGAGCGTGTGCTGAGGTTTCCTCACTGTGCACCGCCATGTGACCTGATGGCCCTGGACTTGTAACCAGAATCCCTGCCCCCTATGCCTGAGTGGGTACCCTTACTGGGGCCCTCCAGCTTTCTCTCTTGCCTTCCAGAAGATTCCAAGAGGGGCTTTCTTGGTTAGGATGATAAATTCTGAGCCTCAGGGATTTGGGTCCAGTGGCATTTCTTTGAAAGCATACTTCTGCCTCTGCCTGGGTCTGTGGGGGACAAAGAGATGCCCCTTGGGCCATCGATGAACTTGGCCCGAGAAATGGCATCACCTAGGCTCAGCCGGGTAGAGGACTCAGAGCTGTACTTTTATTTATTTATTTTTGGTTAAGCTGGCCTAAGTTTGTTTGGAGAAGGCTCCAGAGCCTAGGGAGGTTGAGAATCAGGAGCACATTTTGATATTTGCAAACCACAGCTGCGTGCCCGTGGGAGGTGCTGGGGAGCAGGCTCGGGCATTGCCTCACACACCCCCTCCTCTCTGGGTCACCTGGGAGCACCAACAACAATTTGGAAATTTGCTGAGCTTGAGGCAGTCTTTGGGGAGGGCTTATTCTAAGCACACCCCTTTCCCTCCCCCTGGGCTGAAGGAAACGTGGGGCCAGTCCTGCCCCATCCCGTCCCCATTGGCTGGCATGAGGCAGAGGGGGGTTTAAAAAGGCCACCGTGCCTGGGCTGGGGACCGGAGCCTGTGCTACTGGAAGGCTGGGTGCCCTCCTCTGGCTGGCACAATGCAGCTCTCTCTAGCTCTGTGTCTTGTCTGCTTGCTGGTGCACGCAGCCTTCTGCGTGGTGGATGGGCAAGGGTGGCAGGCCTTCAAGAATGATGCCACAGAAATCATCCCCGAGCTGGGCGAGTACCCTGAGCCCCCGCCGGAGCCTGAGAACAACAAGACCATGAACCGGGCGGAGAATGGAGGGCGACCTCCCCACCATCCCTTTGAGACCAAAGGTATGGGGTAGAGGTGGGAACTTATAGCCTAAGGGACCTGGGAAGGTATTGGGGAAGTTTTAGAATCTTCTCTTGGGAGGTTGGGAAGACTGGAATAGACCCTCAGCCTTGGCCAGCACCAGCAGAGGGGCTGTCTTGCCTGGAGGCAGGGAAGGGATGACACGCCAGCGCAGCCTCGGAATTCAAGTGCAGGGGCAGGACGTGGGGGGCTGGGTGAGCGCCCCCTGGCAGGAAGGAGGCCCAAGGGGCTGACGGCATGGCACTGGGATGGATTCAGGCTCAGAGCAGAAACAAATTCAAAGAATCAGGAGCCAGGTCCAGTTGCAGGCACCACGGGGAGGGGATGAGGGGAGGAGCCTCACATCTATGGAGCACCTGCTGGATTCCAGACACTCCACAGCCAGCTGAGCCTGTCCTGTAGCCCACGGACCCACTTGGTGGAAGCCCCATGAGGTGAACTCCCAGCCTGAAAGCGAAGAAACCGCTCAGAGTTTAAGTAACTTGGTAATGAGTAGAAGAGCTGAGATTTGAACCCCATTTGATCAATTCCAAGACAGCCTGGGTGCGTGTGTGGGAGCGGGTATTGGAGACTGAGAGCTGGAGCAAATACCCCCAAAGCAGTGGGAAAAGAGAAGCCAGAGAGGCACCCCTTCAGGTCCCCTGCCCACAGTCTGCTCATGAGCTAGCACTTGAAGGCATGAGAGTTGAAGACCCAGTTTGAGCCTCTAACATGGACGGCTGCTGAGTCCAGGGCCTGGAAGGCAGCAGCACCCTCTGTGTGGGGGATGGATACAGGTGGCATCATTCTGTCCTGAGCTCCCACCCCACCCCAGGCTTACCTTATTCCTGGGGAGGCAGCCCAACCCGGGGAGAGCGAGAAGGCAATGGCCCCAGTGGAGACCACACCTGGGGTCCTGCTCAGGTCTGCACAGAGAAGCTGGGGGGCAGGGTGTGGTGCACAGGTAGCTTTCAGCTGGCAGAGATGGCGAGGGGCTGAAGCGATACCATTGTCTGGGTAGGAGATGAGCCACTGCCTAGGATCCTGCATCCCCCCCACCCTCCCACCTCACAACCAGCTGGAAATACGGGGCTCCGGAAAGAGCAACCCCAGAGGAGGCTGGCTGGACTCGGGGGCTTCGAAAGGGAGAGCAAGAGTGCCCCCCTCAGGTCAGGCAGAGTCAGCCGAGCTCAAGCAACTGCTCAATGGGCTGCAGGGGAACTGCGTCCAAGACAGCCACTTCCCTGGGCATGTGTGAGAGGCTACAAGGAAGCCACATGCTCAAAAGAAAGTCACCCTCTTCAGAGGAAGTGCCTGACCTGGAGGCACTATTCTTGGAAAACCCCAAATGCCACCTTCCCTGGGCAAACAGGCCACCCCCACACACCACCCCTGCAGCCTCCAAGGGGTGAGGATGCCATACCAGCTCAGAAACCAGACCGTTAGCCACAGGGAGAGAGGCATACTCCCACCTTTCCCTGCTGTGCGTACTCTCCAGGGCCACCTTGCCCCCCTCTGGTTTTGGTCATTTTAGGACTATTTTTTATCCTTTTGTGTCATGTTGGAAGTGTCCCCATGAAACCCTTGGGGATAGACAGGTGCTCACATGAGGACCAGCTGTTTAAAAAGCTCCCACGTGTCCAAGCCCACAGCAGGTGTCATGATCAAGGTGTGTGCAAGGGACTAGGCCAGGCCTCAGAGCTCCCCTGGGAGTGAACCTGGGTCACCAGATGCCCATTCAAATGACACAAACAAGAGATGTGTCAGCAGAGTGCCTGGTACCCAGCAGGTGCTTAATAAGAGTTTGAGACAGCTGAACCTGTAGATTTTCAGTCAGAGCTCAGGTCACCTCTGGTAGGGAAGCAACAGTAGTATAAAGCAGCTCCCTGCCCCACCCCAGTCCAGTCTCTCGTGGGTGCTCCAGCACACAGCTTCCGTCCTTGTGGGAGCCAAGAGGTGCGGGGACTCAAGGGAGACCTGGACCTGCTACACCTGCTGAGCCCCTTTGGGCAAGTTTGTGAACCTCTCTGGGCCTCAGTTTCCTTATCTGTAACAAGGGGATTGGTTTAATGAATTATTATTCATTAAATAAGGTCTAATAAATTCTTATCCTGAAGACCTCCCTTTCTATTTTCCTCTGCAGCAGCTGCGCCTGATTTATTAGCTTCAATTAACCCCCATTCCTTTCTTCATCCCCTGCCCACCTCTCCCAGGTGACTGGAAAAGGAGTTTGGGAGAGGCCAGAGCCAGGCAGAGGGTGTGGCTAGTACCTACCCTGCCCCAGCCTGGGACCCTGTAGCACAGGTGGGCCGGCAGGCTGAAGTCTGGAGGAGAAGGTCGCCTTGGAGAGGAATGAGAATACATGATAAAGGCTAACACTTCCAGCACTTACTTTGTGCCAAACAGTGTTCTCTGCATTATACTTGTAATGGATTAACTCATTTAATCCTCGAGACAACCCATTTTATAGATAGGAAGCACAGAGAGGTTAAGTAACTTGCCCAAGATCACACAGGTATTACGTGATGGAGATGGTATTTGAATCCCCGCAGTCTCTTGGCTGCAAAGTCTCGGCCTTGATGCTGAATTGCGGGGGAGGGCGGGCTGGAGATCTTTTCACTAGCCGGAGTGTCTGGGACCTCCCTCTAGAGGAGGTGCCCAGGGGCAAAATCGTCCGGAGAAGGCGGTCACAGGTTTGGTAAAGGCAGGCTGGAGTGGAAGGGGCCGGGCTCGGCAGCCGCCCTCCCCGGCTCACGAGCGCTTCTCTCCGCAGACGCGTCGGAGTACAGCTGCCGCGAGCTGCACATCACCCGCTACGTGACGGACGGGCGATGCCGCAGCGCCAAGCCGGTGACCGAGCTGGTGTGCTCCGGCCAGTGCGGCCCGGCGCGCCTGCTGCCCAACGCCATCAGCCGCGGCAAGTGGTGGCGCCCGAACGGGCCTGACTTCCGCTGCATCCCCGACCGCTACCGCGCGCAGCGCCTGCAGCTGCTGTGTCCCGATGGCGCGGCACCGCGCGCGCGCAAGGTGCGCCTGGTGGCCTCGTGCAAATGCAAGCGCCTCACTCGCTTCCACAACCAGTCGGAGCTCAAGGACTTCGGGCCCGAGGCGGCGCGGCCGCAGAAGGGCCGCAAAGTGCGGCCCCGCGCCGGGGGAACCAAAGCCAACCAGGCCGAGCTGAAGAACGCCTATTAGAGCCCGCCGCGCCGCGCCTTCCCAGCAGGCGCCCCCGACGGAGGTTCTCCCGTGTTTCTGTCCCCTGTGCGTGGTTCGATTGTTTGTACTTCATTTAAAATGCCAGCAGCCCAAGGGGAGGCAGCCAGGCCCTGCGGAATCCGGGGTGGCAGCCCAGGCCCCCTCCCTGGACCGCTGAGGGGGTTCCGCAGGACAGGGGAGGGAGTTGAGAGTCACAGACACTGAGCCAAGCAGCCCCGCCCCCTGAGGCCGCCCAGCTTTGCCGGTCCGACTGCAGACGAGGCAGACGTCCAAGCATTTTCACCACCTGGGGTTTTAAGGGAGCGGAGGGGAGTGGGAAAAGTCTGGGGTGGTTAAGAAAGTTCGGTAGGATCCCCTCTCCACCTCTCTGTCCCATCATAAAACCTTGAGTGCTGGGTTGCGCCAAGATCACAGGCCTGGGGGTCTTTAGATAGGGTTTCTAGTCCTGGCTCTGCCACTAACTTGCTGTGTACCCTTAGACTGACTACAACATTCCCTTTCTTGGCCTCGATTTCCTCGTTTGTAAAATGGGAGTGGGACGGGACTAGGATGGCAGAACATCTACTATCATATGATTTCAAGGACTCCGGTGCCCTTTGAATGGGCAAGGGAGAGACAGGTTGGATTGAATTACTGACAAGATCATTTCCAGAATTCAGAGATGTGATCCTCTGATCTGACAGCCAAAGATGAAAAACGAGCAGGAAAAAAGAAAAGAGTCTATTTATGGCTGAGGAACTCCTGGAAAAAGCTGTATTGTTTCCAAGCCTGGCCTCCCCAGATGTTTGGCTACCTCCACTCCTCCATCTCAAAGGATGCAGAAATAACACCATCAATTGGAGTTGAGAAGGAGGGGGTCCCAAGAGTGGGAGGGAGGGATAGAAATTGCCTCTCTCATTCCCAAGGAGCAGCAGCCCCCTCCCCTGCCCCATGGCCATATGTTAAAGTCACCTTCTACAGAGATGCTCAAAGTCACAGCACACTGAGGTCCAGGTTTGGCATTCAACGCCCTGCAGTTCCCTTTCCAAGGCACCTCCTCCTGCCCACTACTCACGGTCACACGTCTGTCTAGAAAATAGCTTCTTACTGCTCTTACATGGGATGGCATAGCTTACGTTAAAAGAATATTATTGGAGACAAAATTAAAAGTGCTGTACATATGCTGAGAAACCGCAAAGCATAATAGCTGCCACCCAAAACTCTTTTTGAAAAGCATTTCCAGACACTTCTTACTTTCTGTGTAGTTCTTAATTGTTAATTTTTTTTTTTTTTTTTTTTCTGAGCAGAAGCACATACTGTGTAAAAGCCTGCAGGGCTGGTAGCTTTTGCAATCCTCCCACGTGGCACTTGTACACAAGAATGAAAGTAGTTGTTTTTAAAGAGTTAAGTTACGTATTTATTTTCTCACTTAAGTTATTTATGCAAATGTTTTTCTTGTAGAGAACGACAATGGTAATATTGCTTTATGAAATACCGGCCTGTTCTTTCAGAACCCAGAGGCATTTTTAATAAAGACAATGAATCATTATGGAGAGGATGTGGTCTCATTTTGTCAACCACGTACAGTGTCATTTCTGCCCAAGTTAACACCCTTCTCTTGGTCAGTAGGGCTTCAACATTGGAGGCACCTTTGACGGCTCTCTGGTGACCCTTGGGGCAATTATGTCCTTCCTTTGAAAAGTCATGTTTGTCTCTTCCTTTCCAAACCCAGGCCTCCTTCCTTCACCCTGGCTCCATTGCAATAATCTCATCCTAGTCTCTCTCTAGCACCTGCCCTCCATACTGCCTCCCAAAAACTCTGTTCTCATCACGTCACGCCCCTGCTCAGGATCCTTCAATAGCTCCTCCTTGCCCAAGACCAAGTTCAGGCTTCTTAGTCTGGCCGTCCCCTGCTTGGTTCCCATCTCCACTCTACCAGCTTCCCTGCTTACTCCAAAGGATCACAAGCTCTACTAACGCCTGCCTCCTTAGTTTGGCATCCCGCATTTACCACCCCCAGCAACTCCTCTTTATTTAGAGTTCACGAGGTTTGTCACCCCTTCTCTGACCCTTCCCAAGATGCTCCAATCTCTCCTCAGATGTCCAAGCCCCCCCCTTTTAAATTTATTTGTTATTGTCGTTGAGAATATACACATCAGAACCTGAGCCCCTTTTGTCCACACCACTACTTTGGTTCCTAATTCTGTATCTCCCCTTTGATGGACATTCAGGGAGTACCCGTCTTGTCTGGCCAAGTCTTGCTCGGTCCTGGGGTAGACACAAAGCCGAGTAAGATCTGGACCAGCTCATGGGGAGCTCAGCCAAGCCATCATGGTTCTTTTTCTAGATGTGGATTTTGTGTCTCCCTAATAAGAATGTAATATCTTTACAAGCAGAGACAATGTCTTGCACTTCTCTGAAAGTTTTGCCTCCCCAAGATGCCTAACAGTGCTGGATGCTAACTGGGATTCAATAAATTGCTTCAATTGCTGTAAAGAAAGATGCTCACCTGCAAAGCTTTAAATCAAGTCCAGCCTATCTTGGCAGTAACCTTACCCTAGGAGCCCCCACCAAAGTAAGCTGAGGTCTTCCCTGACCACCTTTCAGTTTAACTCCCAGTGAACTCTCCTAAGTTCACTGTCATCATCTAATCTTTGATAGATGTCAGCAGGTGTTGCTGGCTCATCCCTCCCCATCACTCCAGATCTGGAGGAGGCCACAGTGAGACCCTCCAGGGAACCCGTGCATCATGAGGAGTATCCCAGAGAGCAGGTAGAAAATGGAGACATTATTTAGACCTGAGGGACAGTGTTGCTCAGTGGGTGGAGACACAGGCTCTGGAACCAGGTCTGTATATACATATATATTTTTGGTTCAGTGGACCTCTTTTTATTTTAATTTTTTTATTGTACTTTAGATGAAGGTTTACAGAACAAATAGTTCCTCATTAAACAGTACACATATTGTTTTATGACAATGATTAACAACCCAATGACATGTCAACCCTGTCCCTTCTCAACCTTGGGTTCCCTATTACCAGCTTTCCTGTTCCCTCCTGTCTTCTAGTCCTTGTCCCTGGACTGTTGTGCCCCATTAGTCTCATTGTGTTTTATGGGGCTGTCTAATCTTTGGCTGAAGGGTGAACTTGGGGAATGATTTCATTACTGAGCTAAAAGGGTGTCCAGGGGCCATACTCTCGGGGTTCCTCTAGTCTCTATCAGGCCAGTAAGTCTGGTCTTTTTTTGTGAGTTAGAATTTTGTTCTACATTTTTCTCCAGCTCTGTCCGGGACCCTCTGTTGTGATCCCTGTCAGAGCAGTCAGTGGTGGTAGCCGGGCACCATCTAGTTGTACTGGACTCAGTCGGTGGAGGCCGTGGTAGTTGTGGTCCAATAGTCCTTTGGACTAATCTTTTCCTTGTATCTTGTTTTCTTCATTCTCCCTTGCTCCTGAAGGAGTAAGACCAGTGGAGTATATTAGATGGCTGCTCACAGGCTTTTAAGACCCCGGATGCTACTCACCAAGGTAGAATGTAGAACATTTTCTTTATAAACTGTGTTATGCCAATTAAACTAGATGTTCCCCGAGATCATAATGGAACCATGTCTGTATTTGAATTTGAGGAGACTGAGGCACCGAGGGGTTAAGTGCTTTGCCCCCAGCCAGACATGGGCTGAGTGCCCAGCTCTGACACTCACTCAAGCTGCCCAGAGCCTGATGGGCACATGGGAAAATGATCAGGTCACAGTGTGTTCTGTGTAAAGTGTTACGGGAACCAGGGACGTGAATCATCTGCTCGGTGACAGGAATGAAGGATAAGGGTTAGGGAAGGTTTCACAGAGGTGGGTGCTGCTTAGAGGCTCACGAGCTGGAGAAGAGGGCACTGGCGTTCTAGGCAGAGGGCACAGCCAAGCAAAGGCATCGAGGTGGCAAGTACGTAGCTGTTCCTGGATGGACGAGAGCCAGCTGCTCCTCAATATATACTGAGTCCTCACCATGTGCGAGGCGGTACGAGGAATCAGGCACTCCAAACAATGCCCAGACCTGAGCTACACCGAGAGTCTGCTTTCTGGGACCCGAGACTCAGGATGGACCAGCCCAGGCTACAATCCCATTACCACGAGGGGGAAAAAAAAGACTAAATTGTAGGTCGGGTTGAAGGTTATTTATGGAAAGTTATATTCTACCTACATGGGGTCTATGAACCTGGCGCCAATCAGAAACAGAATAAACAACAGACTCGGCTGGAAGGGCAGTGCGTTATCTGGGGGCACAGCCAGATGCGGGCTTGTATTAATAGTCTGAGAGTCAGACAGAGGGAAATAGATCTCTCTCACACACATACACCAAAAAAACCCAAACTCATTGCTGTCAAGTCAATTCCAACTCGTAGCGACTCTTTAGGACAGAGTAGAACTGCCCCATAGGGTTTCCAAGGCTGTAATCTTTACAGGAGCAGACTGCCACATCTTTATCTTGCAGAGTTGCTGATGGGTTCGAATCACCAACCTTTCAGTTAGCAGCTGAGTCCTTAACCACTGGGCCATACATAATCCATGGGGCTTTACTTATATTCCAAGTACAAATCGGGCCACCTTTGCCCAAGAAAATACAGCAAAGGAAACTAAAAAAAGCCACAGGACCCCAAAGTTCCCCTATCTTCCTTGAAGCAGCTGGGAGGATGAGAACTTAAAAAGCCACCTGGTTTTAAGGCAAGCTAAAGGTCACGGAAGCTGAAAGCTGGGGCCATATCCCATACCCACCTGCCTCTGATCTGTTCTCTGACACAGGCTTGCACTCCCTGCCCTAGATCCCAGATATCCAATATTATAGCTTTGGGGCTTTCCTGCCTTGCCCCCACCCCGTCCCTGGACTGCATCTTCTCCCTTGTCCAAGGGCAGGTGAGGGGCTCAGGTCTCTGGCAGCTTTGACCAATAGCTGACTCTCCTTTTGTGGCTAGAGGGGCAGGAGGCAGAGGGGATGTTCCTCTTAATCAGTGCAATCATGTCCCTGGTTTGCCCAGGATGGTGCCGGTGTGCACCTATTGGTAATCATTGATTACCCAGTGTAATCATTACAGCACCCACTTTCACTCTCAGGAATGTTCTGGTTTGGACAATAAAGTATATGATCATCCTGCTATTAAGAGACGCACATTCCTGTGAACTGGCTGGGGCTCAGACACACACTCATTTGTCAGTGCTGGTCATTCTGCCTGGAATGCTGTCTGGGTGCCTAGTCCATGCCTGTTCATCCTTCAGGCCTCGGCCAAGTGTTACTTCCCAGGGAAGTCTTCCCTGACAACCAGACCGGTCCAGAGCCCTTAGCTTTATCTTTCATA